AGAGAGAGAGAGAGAGAGAGAGAGAGAGAGAGAGAGAGAGTAGTTAGAAATCACGTTTTTTGGAGAGAAAAAAAAAATTATTTAAAAGCGTGGCTAGAAACAACACTTTATTTATAAATCAAATTTTCTTAAAAACGTGGTTTGTAACCACGCTTTCTTAATTAAAAGCGTGGTTTGTAACCACGCTTTTACGATTTTACAAATTGTAACGCCCTAAAAAATAAACCCATCGTAGCATACATTCACGATAAATAAAAGAGTTTTCATATTACAATCATCAGAATATTCTTACAATAGGTATTACATGTTGACAATAAAAGTAAACGCCCTATAGGCTTACAACTTTCCAAGTCAACACTTGGTTACAAAAAGAGAGTACTAACTCTACACAAATAAGCCATTGGCTTAATATACATGTAATACAACAAAAACAACAAAAAGAGTTTACAGCTTCAAGCCTCCCAAGCTACGTCCTTGGAGGTGACATAACACCTGTACCTAAAAATGATGTCCCATATAGGGTGAGACAACGCCCAGTAGAGATATGCTAAACATAATATGAGCAATAACTAAAACATTAGCACTTGATAAATGCTTAACTCATATAAACCAATATACAGTACAATCCAATTCCATAATCCTTAACTTAACAAAACCCAACTTATAAACATGGCTCAGAACCTGACCAAACAACTTAAGTGAGACTACATCTCATGCCAACAATACTTCAAACTGTCATTTTACGGAAATTGCGTCCGCGGGATTCGGCACCCATGTGTTTTTATTCTCTTATGGCCATTTTACGGATATTTCATCCGCGGGACTCGGTACCCATGTATAGATATTTTCGGATTGCCATTTTACAGAAATTACATCCACGGGATTCGGCACCCATGTATTGCAAATACTCAACTTGATTAGTTTTAATTCACCTAATCATCATGCAATGTCTATAACAATCAAGACTATCCTCCACCGATAGCCCAAAGCAGTTATTTCTAAACAGATAATAAATGCCTCAACAGATAAATAATTGACATTTTCAAAAGTGAGCGATTAATAAATCCAACTCCACCATTCTATCCCATAATGAACCAATTTCATTATTTCCAACTCAATTTCATAATTCCATAACAAATGTCATTAATTACACAAATGACTCAAATATACCCAAATATGACATTTTTCCCTTTGAGCTCAATATTGACCCAAAGGTCCAAATATTATCAATAACACCAATAATCTCATTTCTAGACCCAAATACACATGTATAGGCTCAAAATACAAAACCCCTCTTTCTACATTTTGAAATCCTAACACCCAAAATCACCCAACATCAACATTATATCAAAATGACTAAAAATTTATGTCAAAGACCATAAGAGTGAGTAGTTATCCCTACCTCAAATTCAGAACTCAAAGGAAGAAGATGAAGAAAACTCGAAGTGCTCCAAATCAAGAAATTTTCGGATCAAAGTGAAGCCCACGCCAAGCACAACACTTTTTACAAAGGGACAAAGGTGGGAGATCACTCTAACTAGATCAATACCTAGAGAGAAGTTGGGTTTTAGAGAGAGATGCTTTCCAATGGAGGTTTTGAAAAAGTAAGAGAGAGAAAGGAAATCAAAAAGTGATCCAAAAAGATGAAACTCGGACTGATATACAAGTCGCTCCGCTCAAGCGTGGGAATCCCCGCTCGAGCGTCAGACACAGACTCACGCTCGAGCGTCAAAACTCCCGCTCGAGCGTCGGATGCACACTCACAGAAGTTTTGCAGGCGATGGTCCCCGCTCGAGCGTCAAACTCCCGCGCTCGAGCGGAGGAACAAAAACAAAGGTTCACGCTCGAGTGTCAAAACTCCCGCTCGAGCGTACTAAGACCTACGGAGAAAATACTGGGAGATGGAAATTTACGCTCGAGCGTCAAAACGCTCACTCGAGCGGAGAAGCAACAACAAAGGGCCCGCTCGAGCGTCAAAATCCCCGCTCGAGCGTGAAGGCCAAATTCTAGGCATCAACTTTTGGTTTCAAAGCACAACCAACCTATTTCAAACTTGCCCAACACAACCCAAGACTCAAATACGAAGAGTAAAGGATGGAAATGAGAATGAGACAACAACACATCCACAGAACCGAATCCGGAATACAATAAATAAAGAGAGGAAAAACCAGGATCGCTATAACCTCCCCCCCTTAAGGAATTTCATCCCCCGAAATTAAGTACAAGTTTTCAAAAACATGTTTTTCTCAATTCTCAACAGTATTACAACTCAACATTCATCAACTTGACCCAATACCGGTCATCCCATCTCTTTTCCAGAGGCAAAATCCAACATAATCTCCAACATGCATTATCAACATGCATCACAAAATAAATTCAATGCCAATATTACATTTGCATTTCTAAAACAGAGTTAACATATGCAATGTTTAAAATAAACTTCCATCACAAGGCAAGTTCCACAATATTTCCATAAACCAAAACATTCACAATGTTTTACAACTTAAGACATATTTAATGCTCTTAAAGTTTATCAATATTACAAAATTCCCAATACATGATTATGTATTAACAAACAAGTCCGGATATTTCTCGCGGACCTCCAACTCACGTTCCCAAGTGGCTTCCTCCACTCCGTGATGTTTCCACAAAACTTTTACCAAGGGAATGGTTTTGCCTCGCAAGACTTGATCCCGCCTATCTAAGACCCGAACCGGCCTCTC